GTTTCCAGGAAAAGTATGTTTGCACTGCTATCGTTGTCTATCAAGATGCGTTTGGTCAAGTAGTTGGCGATGTTCAAAGACATGACCAAAGCATCATGGTGTGGGTTAAGTAGCTGTGCCTCAGAGATCGTAAAGCTAATGATCTGTGGTGAGTCTGACTCGCTTACTTGGTTCAGACTCTAGAAGAGGTGAGTCGCTCAACACGCATGCCTTCGTGTCGCTGCCCTTGTTATCCTACTAACTTCTGAACCGCCAGTGATGAAGTTAATAGTTCAATCATGTGACGGTGCGGTCGTTGGTACAAAGCCTTGCTTACCATACAGTTGTTATCATCTGGCAAAATTCTCTTTTTCTTTATCAATGAAAACATCCGTGGGACATCCCTCCTTCGATAGCTCTATTATTTCCAACCTTAGGGCAATGCAATCATATGTGCGGTGGCCATGGTCGGCGTGAAACTCACACCATTTATTTTTATCTCATTGGTCACTAGAGCTTCTCATTTTTCTGGGCCAATTTACTATGCTGCCTATCCCCTTTAGCACCACAATTAGTTCCTTTGACTTAATAGAGAGGTTGTATTGAGGGACCCCAACCTTTGTTCTCACAGAAGGGTGCTCAGTTGGTCTGGGTAGCTCTCTGCACTTGGTGTCTCTCTTGTTCGAAGGGCTTTTTTTTCACCCTGTTTTGTTGTCGCAGTTCTTCTAGGGGGTTAACGTCTGGTGAAATTAAATTTAGCATCATTCTCTTCCCATTTAATCTGATCTGTAGCTCTAGCCAAGGCGTCCTCTATCGTACTAAATGGATATTTGGTCAATTCTTTATACAAATCAATATCTAGGAGGAGTGCCTTTCGAAAAGCAAAAATAGCAGTTTGTTGTTGCGGCTAGGAATGGAAACTTTCTCTCGATCAAATCATCTGACAAATTCCCACAATGATTCATTTCCTCTCTGGACTATATGATGGAGATCATCGGATCGCTTCTCAAGTTTTCTGCTGCTTGCAAACTGTTCAACAAAAGTATTAGCTAGTTGTGCGAACGACGATATAAAATAATTAAGAAGGTTTGTTTACCACTGTGGGCTTGGTCCCACAAGATTGGAGTCGAACCCTTGCACATGTAAGCCTCTCGACTGTCTCTTGGTATATCGACGGTAAACGTTCTCTGTCTATATTGAGCTATATGATTGTTCGGATCGATTGTCCCATTATAGAGCTTCATGTTGGGAAGCTGAACTTTTTGGGCATTTCCCACCAAGGCAATTGCGTCGACAAAGGGAGAGTCGGTGAAACAACTGGCTACACTCTTTTTGATAGGTGCTGGCATCCTTGGGATACGTTAGACCATGGCTTTGATCGTCGCTAACTTTCGTACGAACTCTGGATCCTGTCCATTAGTAGGCTATGGTTGTGCACCTTCTAACCTTCCATTAAGCGGTGTGGCAAATTATACATTTGAATCAATGCTCCTCTAGATTTGACTAAATATTTTAGTGATATTTCAATGTAGGATATTAGTCAATTGTCAATTTTAAGTGATACTAGTTTAGTTATTATTTTCATTAAAAATCATAGCTTCAACAAGATTATAATCACAAGTAATATCAATTTAAACAATGTAAATTATTTTTGGACATATTAATTATTAGTTTTTGATGTTATAAAACAAATTACTATAGTTATTTTTATCTTATTTTAATTAATAAAGAAATAAATCTCTTTGAATATTTCAATTAGTAATATTATACTATTATCTAATATTATTTATTATTTGAAAATTAAGTGAAGCATAATATAAGTTTCAAAATGCAAAAAAAAATTATGTTTACTAGATTATGATATAATATATAAAATATATTATATTATATTATATTATTATAATAAATCGGATCGGATCGACCTATATCTATATTTGCTCCATTTAGTTAACGAATTATCAAATTCGGATCTTAATCGGATTATCGGACTGAGATCCTAAATCTATCTCCCATTAATTTCAGTGGATTCAGATAAAAATCCAATCCATTGACAGCTCTAGCTGGACGGTTGCAATGGTTGGCAGAGCGGTAGCATGACTTAAGTTGTCTCTCTTTGCGTTGTTGCTTCCACCTCTTGACGAATCATTTGTTTTGCTTCTTGACGAGCCATTTCATTTGAAGCATAATCAGCGGAACCGTCCGTACGATGAATTCCAGAAGTTCGTGACATAGTGAGGATGATTGGTAAATAGTAATGGTAAGAGTCCTGTCTGTAAGAATGATTGCTAGTGCTTAACAGTGGGTGCCAAATTGTAGACAATAGATTCTACGATCAAGAAAACTGGATCAAGTAAACAACCAGCAATCCTACGGGACTCGAGAAAAATGAAATAAAGAAGAAAGACTGCAAAAGATCTTAAGAGGACACCGGTGTTGTGCCGATCAAAGACCCTCTGATGGTCAAGTTAGTAAAACTCGTTAAAAATTGTATGAATACTAGATGTAAAGAAAGAAAAGGTAACTCAGAGTGGAGTAGAGTAGATTGAGATACTCGAACGCTTGACTGACCATGGAATTTATAGGAGTGAGATAATTGTCTAAGTAGAATTGGTGGGGATTCTCCAAGATTTCATAGTTGCTTGGAGCTAAATCTAATCCAATCTGTTCGGTTGAGATATCAAAGTCGTTTACAGATAACTCTTAATGGATCAGTGTAAGTCACAACGTGATTTATTTTGAAAATAAATTATTGGAGGTTTCAAATTGACATGTGGGTCTTGGACCACGTAATCTGATCGATCGTTATATTGAGTTGGGCCAAGGATAGTGTGGTTGGACCGTCTGTGGACCCTATTTTATGGTTTGAACCGTTTGGACTAGTGGATTAATTTTTACCACGACACTTGATAAGGAAGGTTTAAGCATCAAATTTTCAACTGCTTAATTGCCTCTTTTCATATATATTTTTTATACTTACGAAATATGATTACATTGATTAAATTGAGTATTTTATTTAACCCTATGTTTTTTTTTTTTTTAAATCGCAAAATTTAGGGTATTTCTATAAGTTCTCCGACTTTAGGGGGGTTTTTTAAATGGATTAAGTCAAACTTGCAAACTGGCTTGTTGGTCCTTCGAGGATTAACTACCCATGTTGAGACTCGTAATTAGCTATATAAGATTAGAAAATTTCAGACTGAACCTATTTTTATATCTAATACCCTACATCTCAACTTTCAATTTCTTAAATCAAATACAAAGAATTTTTATTCAAAAATCAGATATATCCATTGAATCCACCCACATGCAATTCTTCCTTGGCCACCCCATTCCATCTTATATTCTTCATTCTCTCTATATATTCATTTTTGAAACAATCATTCTCTCAGCACCCTAGTCCCACACCATTCCACCTCACCCACCATATCTTACCTTATCTCTTACTTTCTCTTTACAAATCCTATTTCTTTGGCTTTCTCGATACAGCAGCCATTCTACTTTTTAATATCCACCAATTCAATTTCCAAATCTAAGTAAGCAACATAAGAAATTAATTAATTCTTTTGTGTGTGATATGAGAGTGGCTCATGTTATGGCAAATAGTGGCATTGGAATAGCGTGCGTGAGTGTGATCCGACTAGAGATAGTGATAAAGTCGAATGTGCTAGTGGTTATGGCTGGAGTGCAAGTGTGATGGATTGCGGTGTATAGATCTGTGTGGATGGTGGTACAACAGTGGTGATGTGGGTGGTGTGGTGGTGCGGAGAACGTACAAATTTGCATCGTGGTGGTGAGGTGGCAGTAGTGTTCTAGGTATAGATCTTCATGGTATGATTAGGGGTGGGCATGAGTTGGACTGAGTTTAAACCATTAATTGGGTTGGATTGATTTGATTTTAGGTTAAACCGACCATGTTGAGTTTGGTTTGGGAATGTTTATAAATTATAAGACATCATATCTTTACTATTGTGTTTATTGTAACCATAATTATATATTATTGTAACCTTAGCTTCTTTAATTACATATTTAATTAATACCATCTATTTTTACAAAAAAATCATAAGTTTCTTAAATTTGAAAGTGTATCTTAAAATAATAGTAAGAGTAATTATATTTATACCACAATTTTATTTCTTGCACCATCTTTTAATAGTGGTTATGGCTATTAATTTTTACTCATATAGCACTTACATTCCTAACATTTTTCACGTTACTTTTATCCTCAAATTTTCTATCAGTTAATACCTTTTGTATTTGATGAAAGTTTTATATGTAAAAGTCCGTTGAAATAACATAAAATAATTTAATTTTTTGTCATATTTTTAAAAATAAATATATAATATATATATATTCCTAATTTCGAAGCATGAATTTTATTTATTTTTTAAATAAATCATCATCAAAGATGATATATACTAATTAATGAAAGGTTGAATATAAGAATTCGACGAAAAAAATTTAAGAAAATAATTGTTATAATGAGCAAAGATTGATGAGTTTAATTACAATTAAAATATGGTGTATCATATAAAATTGTGGTGATAATATAATGACCCTTTATGATAATGACGTAATTTTCCTCACTTTTATATCATTAATGGACCTAAAGAACCTTTCTTTGATGGTCATTATTTTGCCAATGATAATAATAATATTATTATTAATAATAGTTTTTTGAATAGCAAGTTTTGAAATCATGCTTCAAAAACAGAAATCTTTAACAGACAACATATGACAGGAATTGACTGAAAAATAGAAAGAGAATAAAAAAAACAATTCAATCATCTGCGATTACAACGTAGGTAAAAATTCTGTAAAGAATTTTCTGTACTCATGACTTTTTTCGTTTTAAATAATGTATGGATAAAATGTAGTGAAAAATTATGAAGTTAGGTGTAAATATTTTATTTGTATGAATGCAATTAAGAATGAGTGAGAATCATGAGTTGTTTTAAAGGTCCTCATTGAAAGCATTTAAAGTAGAGAAACTGTGAACGCGAGTTTAGTTCAGGATTACAGTCTAACAAGCACGAGACATACCGTTGAACGCGACTTAGTTCAGGGAAAGAAGGTTACAGTCTTAAGACTCTTAACAAGTTCTACCATTGTAATTCGTATGCGTAGGAGAATCCCAAAAATGGTTCAGATTGGTTCAAATTCTCGCTCGGGTGAGTACTTAGCAACATAAATTTGATTTACCCCTTTTCATAATTTCAACACGCTTGAATATCACTGTTTCTATTTCAAGCAAAAATAAAAACAAAATAAAGAAGAAAGAAAACCAAACATTGTTTTTGAATTATGGGATATGTGTTTCAGTTTAACAATTAAAGATTGAATCTATTTTTATACGTTTTGTGTTTCTTTGTATTTTTATTCTTTTCATAATTTTCTATATATTATTTTGAGTAATTTGTGCTATTGAAAGCTAAGAATGGTAAATCTTCGTATATATTGCTATCACGATACTTTGCAATCGTATTGTTGCTTGCAGCCATTAGTAGACTCGAATATTTTTGTTGAAAAACAATATTTGTTTCTAACCTCGTAGTTAGTTTCTGTACAAGTTGTCAATTTATTACATATTTACTTTGTGGGTTTTGTTTCTTTTTTCTCTTCTTTTCGTTTTTTTGGTAACTTTTGTACTTTACTGGGCAGTGGTTGAACACAAGAGAGTAGTAATAGAGAGCACCCATGATGAGAAGCTTGTTGGGATATTGCATGAAATGGGCTCTCCCGAGCTTGTAATTATATGCCATGGTTTCCGTTCCTCGAAGGTTCGCAATTTTGATCTAGAAAATTATCTGTGCAATGTAAGAGATATAATTCTCAATTTTTGTGTTCCATCCGCGTCTCAGGATCGAATTCCTATGGTGAACCTTGCGGCTGCTTTTGAAAAAGAAGGAATTAGTGCCTTCCGCTTTGACTTTGCTGGCAATGGGTATGTGTTGAAGCTAGTTACTCATAATATAAGCAGTTTAACAACACATCATATCTGTAATCTATCACTTATTCTTGTTCTCTTCCTAAATTGTTTATCCTGTTGAAATTTTATATTAATGATCATAAAATTATTCTTCCATTGAAATTGAAATTAGAAATTAGATGTATCTAGCTGTAAATGAAGTAGATATTCTTACTCTTATGGTTGCTTTTAGATTATCATGTTTTTGTTCTTGATATATGTCGAGATTAGGTACTGAAAACTTATAAATTTTATGCTTCATAAAATGTGGGTTCTTTGCCAGCTGCACGTGTTTCTTTCCTCTGGAAGCAGTTATATCCTAGAAACAAATTCTCATGATTTTATTTTTTTCAACATTATTTCTTTGCTTTCACAGTAAAGAAAAGGGAGGTGTCTTAGATAGGATTGCTTCGTTACTTTCATTGTCAGTGAATATGTGATCCTATTGTGCATGACTCACTATTTCTTCTTTAAGTGTATTTAGTCTTTATCTATTGTCTCGTTCTCCTGAAAAATAATCAGGTTATCGTTTTTCATTTAGATGAAAACCCGAGTCCTTGGTGGATACTGATGTTTTATTCAATTTTCCATTTGCTTGGGTGACCGGAGGCAACATATCCACTTCTGTGTAATCTTAATTATATTAGTTTCTCAAAGTTGTGGGATGCTCTAGGTTGTTACCTATACATTTTTTTCCCCAAACTTTTTCAACAGAATTCCTGATTGCTTAGCATCTGACAATTTCTACTTTTACACACCTAAGATTTATTTTACTTTGTCTGCAAAATAAAGTGTAAACTTATGGTCTAGAAAGGGTTGGTACTGGCATGCAGTATTACTTGTAGCGTGCCAAAAAAAAACCTTTGGGACTCACACTCAGAGGTGGCCTTAAGTTCAATTGGGTTGATCTAACTAAAGCTAAACTATAACTGTGATAGGCACCATGTTTTCGTCTTCCCAAAGACATGACTTGTCTCTGAAAGCTTACGATGGGTCCAAGGTTTACCAAGTATCTTGTTCATTAATAAGCAGGTTCCTTGAAATTGCTTCACAAACATGCTTAGATCCTCCATTTACCCGAGACTTGTGGAGTTACTAATAAAGAAATATTCTCGACTTATCAGGGAAAGTGAAGGAACGTTTCAGTATGGTAACTACCGTAGAGAAGCTGAAGATCTAAGAGCCGTGGTCGAACATTTTCAAGGGGAGAAACGATGCATAGTGGCAATTATTGGGCACAGCAAAGGTGTGCTAGATATATCTCTGCAAACTGAACTTTTCGGTTTTTTCCCCCCTTTTCTTTTCTTAGATTTTGTATTTTTTTTCTCCTTTTTCAATTTTCATGAGGCTGGGCTTTGATGGGTGGGGGTGGGGATGTGTAGGACGCTAAGAGAGCTATGAGCATAGGAAATCTACGTGAGATTTTTGAAGTACTTACAAAAACTTTTAGAGTTCTAAAGACCATTCTTTTTTGTTCTATAAATCTTCCCAAAGACATGACTTGTCTCTGAAAGCTTACGATGGGTCCAAGGTTTACCAAGTATCTTGTTCATTAATAAGCAGGTTCCTTGAAATTGCTTCACAAACATGCTTAGATCCTCCATTTACCCGAGACTTGTGGAGTTACTAATAAAGAAATATTCTCAACTTATCAGGGAAAGTGAAGGAACGTTTCAGTATGGTAACTACCGTAGAGAAGCTGAAGACCTAAGAGCCGTGGACAAACATTTTCAAGGGGAGAAACAATGCATAGTGGCAATTATTGGGCACAGCAAAGGTGTGCTAGATATATCTCTGCAAACTGAACTTTTCGGTTTTTTCCCCCCTTTTCTTTTCTTAGATTTTGTATTTTTTTTCTCCTTTTTCAATTTTCATGAGGCTGGGCTTTGATGGGTGGGGGTGGGGATGTGTAGGACGCTAAGAGAGCTATGAGCATAGGAAATCTACGTGTGAGATTTTTGAAGTACTTACAAAAACTTTTAGAGTTCTAAAGACCATTCTTGTTTGTTCTATAAAAGTATTTTCTGTACATTTGAATTTTTTGTCGATTGAAAATTATCTAATTTTATACTTCTCATGATAACATATAAATTAAGTGAGAATAATATTTTATTCCACTTGAAATCTACACATTGTGAATTCTGTAAACGCTCCGTGCTGCAGCCTACAATTACTTTCTGGGTGGTTTACTCTCAGGACCTTTTGATACATTTTCCACTTATCAGTTTGAAGAAAAATTCCTGTTCAAGGAAGTCTTCCAATTATTGCACAAATACAGTGTATTGTTTCACGTTAAAGAATTCTGCTTCTTAGAGCTTACAAGTGTCAACTATTTATGTTTATGCGAATGGACTTTCTTTCTGTGCTTCCTTTCCTAAAATATTGCCGTATGGTTGGATGACATTCTTACAGGAGGTAATGCTGTGCTTCTTTATGCTTCTTGGTATAATGACATACAAACAGTGGTAAATATTGCTGGGCGTTATAATCTAAAGAGAGGAATTGAAGGTCGCTTGGGTAAGGACTTCCAAAAGAACATTGAGCAAAATGGATTCATTGATGTTAAAAATAGAAGAGGTACGTATTATTTTTGTTTCACTGACATATCTGCATCACTTCAGTTAATGTTTTACTGCCAGTTACATAAATACTTTGCATCACGAACTTTCGTCTTCTCAATTATCTAAATATGTCCCATAAACGTTTCAAGATAAATAATGTTGAAAGGTACTTAGATTTATTTGCAACCTTTGAGGGGCCGCTTTTTACTTTCCATTCACTTGGATTTCTTTTGTTTCATCAATTTTGTTCGGTTCCTCTTTTTCTTCCGAAAAAAGGAAAGGAGAAGGATCTTCTTCGCGGGATCTCTCATGTTCCTATTTAGTCCCCTTCATTTCGGAAGTTAGTATAACTCTAAGTATTACTTTTATACAAAGTCTCTTGTTTTCACCTAGGATTCTTGCTAAAGAAACCTAGTTCCAAATAAAAAGAAAATGGAATTCTTATTTTATGTGTAGAATTTCTAACTTTTTATTTTTTAAATTATATTTATTATTCTAAATTCTTTAGATATCTATATAAATTTCCTTTTATACGGATATTAGTGACATGTTTAGTACGGAAGACCGTACAAAACAAGGAGAAAAGTTACAATTTTGTTTGTTATACCGTTCAGTTTTGTCCAGTCTCTTACATAACAAACCCGCATAAGAAGTTTTAAAAAACAGGTAGTTCTCATTTGCATATCTTTAGAAGGATTCATATGCCATATCTGTCATTTTTCTAGGGAAGATTGAATATCGTGTGACGAAGGAAAGTTTGATGGACCGTCTAGCAACAGATATGCATGCTGCATGTCAGTCTATTCATCCAAGCTGCAGGTTCGGAATAGCATCGGACATAGTTAGTTATTGATATATTGTTTATTGTGAATTCTAGTATTTCCTGTTCTTCATATATAAATGAAACATCAAATCAATTTACTTTGGCAGGTGAAGGCATCCAGTATTTCTTGTTCCTAGTATTTCTAGTATTGTCATTCTTATGTTGCTAATAAGGGTTAACAAAATATTCGTGCTTCTATGCACTTTTGCATGTACATACACAATGGATAATATTTTAATTTCTTTTTTATCCTTTAATACTGTCTAATACCAGATAGTCTAACTTAGCAAACTTGTTAGCAGGGTATTAACCGTTCATGGTACGTTGGATGAATTTGTGCCTGTTGAAGATGCAATGGAATTTGCCAAATATATACCAAATCACAAGCTACAAATTGTTGAAGGAGCTGATCATGAGTACACTTCACATCAAGAAGAGTTGGCTTCTATTGTGCTGGATTTTGTGATGGCGAGTCTATATAAAGACAAGTGTGTTTCTAAAACATCGTTGTCTTGTTCAAAAACTGATAAATTGATCGATTCACGCCTTTGAATCTTGAATATATGTGAGCAAAAGATTGAATTGCACATTAACTTGAATGACAAAAATATTATGAGGGTCTTTCGTCTGTATAGTTAAACATTTAAACATGATAAGCATTAATGCTCTTGTTCTTATTATTGTTGAGTGACTCATAATCGATAACATTGTTTGTGGTGAATCTTACAGTGTCAGTATAGCTAGGGGTGGACTCAGAAATTTTTTCCAGTATGGGTGATATTGCTAAAGGTCAAAAAGAAAAAAAAAAAAAAAAAAAAAAAAAAACAACATTATAACACAAATGTTATACCAAAAATGAAATACTTTTCAATTGTTCTTTACGAGTTTTCATACTTTGATATTTTAATACAATCACTTCATTATCAATATTTAAGAATATATCTTTCTTCACGTAAACAACAAGACTATCATTCACCGCCACTTCCTCAATCCTATTGCGCAAAATCAAAAGCTTGTAAACCAGTAGATATACTCTAATTTTATTTATCAAAACTAACTTTCGTGTGAGAGCATTTTGTTCAATTCTAATAGATAATTTATTTTAGCATCAGAAGCAACTTCATAGATAGAATCGGAATGGATGAACTTCAGTTGAATAAAAATCTCAGTTCCATATCGTACTGAGAGGGATCGACATTGAGCTTGTTTTGTAAATTATGGTAAATTTTCGTGTATAATGTACTTTCTATTACGAAAATTGAAAAACCACCTTGTATAGTACTTGTTCATTTCCATAGAAATCACCAAAATAACAAATCAAGATTACAACAATATTTGCTTCACAAAGCTGAAATTTTAATTATAAAAAAATATATATATAGTTGAAATTTGGTTCAACCCACTGGGCAAGATTTATTTTCAAAAAAAAGTTTTAAAGCCGGGTGTTACGTCGGTCGGTCTCAACATGCAAATAGATTTTTCTTATCATGCTTAAAAAAATTATAGATTTAGTAACAAAAAAATTATTCTAAAAGTATTAAATCAAAATAAGATTTGTCAATTAAAACGTGCATTAATTTAACGAAAACGAAATTAAACATACGTAAATATATTTATCGATTCAAAGTAATTGATATAAAAAATATTTCTTTGTTCAACTTTCAGTAAATTACTTAAATTTTGAGGTTGGAGCGGATGAGAGATGAGAGAAATTTTATCTGTATTGAGATAAAGAGATAGAAAAAGTTATCTGATTTTGAAATTTTAAGTGAGAAGTGTTTAATTTTCACTTGTTAACTAAAATAGTAATAATATATTTTAAATAGAACAATATTTTATAATTGTACAACATATTTAAGGACATCTTTATCTTTTAAAAATGCCATTGTGAAAACTTTCAATTGTTCAAAAGTCGAAGTGAAAATTGAATGGTTTGACTAAGCCAACCTTAAAAGTACCCCCAAACTTCACTTAGGCTATCCATGATCATGATCATATAAGACTATCCAACTCATATAAGTACACATAAAACAATACAATATTTTTGGAAAAAAATAAAAATAAATACTATTTTGAAAAGAAAATAAACCACGCGTAAATTTAAAAAAAAAATAATAATAATAATGATGTGATAGGCCTAAACTTGAATTGACATTTTCCTCAATATGACCGTGAAATGAGTTTTAGGAAAGTTAGCAACACTCGTCGTGTCATGTAATGATGCCTATATTATCACTTAAAATATATCTTCCTCTATTGTTCTTTGCTTGTACTACAAAATATTTTTAAGATACTTGGAAAGAAAAATGACAATTAAATACCAATATAATCACACGAAGGTTAAGGCTAATCCTTTATTAATTGTGAGTGTGGGATGAGAGAATTCGAATTTCTTGAAGTTTTCAAGGTTATAACGTGGAAGAGAGCTAGGCGTCCGCCTGGTCCATTCCCTACCTGTTTTATCATGATTTTTCATGGTGTTGTGATCGTTAGCCAAAGAAGATGTGCGACCACATGAAGCTCAAATTTCTCCCCTAAAGAAAAGAGAAAAAGAAATTGGCATAATTGTAATGTTGGAATAATTAATTATTTCATATGTGGGCTTCACATTGGATTGCAAATTTTATGGGTTAGATATATGGCTCATAATGATATTTGAGTTTGAGCCAAATTTATTAAGTGATCAATTGTGCCTTTTACACCTTACATGTTGTAATTAATTTGATGTGGTAATTTAAAGTATGTGGGCCAGAAATAAACCCTAACTAGAATTCTAGTCGTAATGGGACGGCTCAAATTATTTCCTATATATATAAAGGCTAGGTCCCCTCTCCTCTCCATATATTTCATTAGCTTGCCCCATTGATAGCTATCAATTTGTGAGGAGCAAGGAGGGGAAGATCTTGACTGCTATTACAATTATAATTCATATCAACAATGACTTCCACAAGTATGAATTCGTTTCTATTAATTTATTGGATTGTGATTATCGATTCTTAACATGATTAAAACTAAATTCAACAATTAGATCAAAATTCTTCATGAAATTTTTAATTTCACGTTTTTGTGCATGTATATTTTCGTGTGTGCATATGTGTATAATTCAGTAAAGAAGCCGAAGACGTAAGCCATCAAAACGCCACATTCTTCACGCAACATTCTCAACATCCTTCAAGGGTTTCGACAATGGGTTTTCGACCATAGCTTCCTATGTACGAAACTAGTTGGGCTCATTCCAGCAAAAACCCAATCTTTACACCCGCACGATTTTTCTTTACACCCCTGCAATTTTTCGTATCCATCTTTCCACGGCTAGCGGTCGGCGACTGGTGATCGGAGTTTTTTAAAGTTCGGTGAAGATTCTGGTTAGCGCGTGGCGTTTGAGTCGTTTTCAATTGAAAAAGATTATATATATGTTTTTGGACAGATTTTGTTGGAGATTCGTCGGAGTTGAGCTGCGCCGTTGCAATTATGGCCTCATCTTTGTTTGCTAGTCAGAATGAATCTAGCTGGGTCCACATGGGGAAGAAGATTTCGAGTTCGAATTCTCGACTGAATGCAAACCCTAAACCTAATTCTAACCTGAAGAAAAAGCAAAAACAATTCCACCATGTAGCCACCAACGGAGGATCAGCTGGGCGTTATAATGATGATTCCCCCATCGTCACACAGACTGCCTCCGACGATGCTTACTCCTTCAACCAGACCTCGACAAGCTGTAGCGGATTTAATCATGGCGAATATTTGACCTACAATGTCTCATCGTACTCAAAATCATAGCCCCTGTCTGCGATAACAGATGTAAGGGGAGACGGGGGCTCCTCTTGCAAATATTTGATTTTCAAGCCCCTGTCTGCAATTAGAAATTGGGGTTAAGATTGTAAATAATAAAAGGAGGACATGTCATCTAATTTATATAATTAAAAGGGCCTATTAATAATTTTAGACCAGGGGTCATGTTGCAAATTTTTAAATGGGTTTTGACTCTAAAAATTTCAATTTTGACCAAAATTAAAAATTTTATTTTAAAATTGACCCGTTTGAAATAATAATAATAATAATAATTGACAACTTTTATATTTTCGTTAAATGTATAATTATTGTTATTATTTGTTCGTTTAAATTCCGCCTTTTATATATTAAAATTTTGTTGCCAATTTTAGTTCTCAATCACATGTGAATTTTGTCATTCATCAATTAGTGATTATTATTTTGTGATTGAATTTTTCTATGGGCCTTGCAACGATTCTTGTTTTCCCACTAAGAGAAATATTTTGAAATAAAAATAGGTAGTAGCTGCTAAAGTGGCACACTCATTATTAATTATTCGATTTTCTCTACAATAAAAATACATATATTTTTGCCCAACAACTTTTGATTTATTGCATATAATATCTTGCCCAAAGGTGTTATTATATGTAATATTTTTGAAAAATGGCATGAGAAAGTTAACGGCTTATTTTGGTTTAGAAATTTCCTTCTGCCCAAAGGTGTTGGAATTTTGAAAACCAGTGTAATTTTGTTAACTGGCTACATGATGTGTTTTAAGAGTACCTTATAACATATTGTATTGTCGACCTAAAGGTGACTTTACGATGATGCACCTAGGCTCTTACCGTAATAAAATTCATATGTTTCGATTTAAATTACAGATTATCTAATTAATAGCCCATATTAATTAGTTGATATTTCATCATCCATTTGATTGCATGCATTACGTTTGGATGATATTGGCTGTGATATTTTATGTTTCCACAGTTTATAATGCCTCATCTCTTTCGAATCAATTGTTTGCCATTGAAACATTGACTGGGAATAACTATGTGAGATGGAAACGAGACGTAGAAATAGCACTTGGTCTTTTGGGCTTGGATTTTGCAATGGAGAAAAGGCTTGAAAAACCCACAGATAAGAGTACCGTTCAATATGTAGCCGAGCATGAAAAGCGGGAAAGGGCTAACAAACTCTTTTTGAAAATCATTAAGCGATCGATATCTGATTCCATTCTAGGTGCCATTCCTGATAATGAAAATGCCAAAAGTTTTATGGATGCCATAGGAGAAAAATTTGTTGAGTCTGATAAAGCCGAAACTGGGGATCTGATGGATAAATTTATGAGCATGAAATATGATGGTACAAGTGGTGTTAGGGAGCATGTTATGAAAATGATAAATATATCATCTAAGCTAAAGGCTCTTGACATTCCCATTACGGAGCCTTTCCTGATCTATCATGTTTTGAATAGTCTTCCTAGCAAGTTTAATCAGCTTAAGGTTGCTTACAATGCTCAGCGGTATAAGTGGAATTTGAATGACCTCATAGCAGTGTGTGCCCAAGAAGAGTATAGGATGCACCGTGAAACTGTTGAAATTGTGCAATTAGCTTTTCAGCCATCACAGAATAAGGGGCCTTCTCATAATCATAAACCTAAGTTTTGTAAGGGTAATAAGTCTCACCGAAGTCAGCAGAATAAAAATTTTAGTGGTCCCAAAGCAATTATAAAGAAAAATGATCAATGCAAGTTCTGTAAAAAGAAGGGTCACTGGCAGAAAGACTGTTTTAAGTTCAAGACTTGGTTGGAAAAGAAGAAAAGTTCTTCAGGTATTCCCTTGGCCTTAGTTTGTTTTGAGTCTTCTTTAGCAGATGTACCTTTGAATTCTTGGTGGTTAGACTCGAGAGCTAGTATTCATATTGCGAATTCCTTGCAGGGGTTCA